CATTGGTAATGTCTGACTGGGCCTCGTGCCACTTTATGCTCAACAATTTGGGCCCCGAGGTCAAAAGGTTTAAGAACCCCTGTTGTACAGTACAGTTTAGAGCCCAACAAGGTGATGTCAGTTATTAGCTGCTGTAGAGCCTGAGGCGGCCAGCTGTAAATATCACCTGCTAACACGCTCACAGGTTTTTGGAAATAAGTGTCACTGTGTCATTCACTAGAAAAAAAAATTAAACATTAGTTTTTAAGAAAGCTTAGGGTATTTCCAACACTGAACACAGCTGACTGACTGCTTGGAACAACATGGAGGAGAGGAGTGCTGCCAAATGCTCTATGTGACCAGAGAGAGCAGAAAAAAGGCTCAGCCTTCATTGAAAGTTATTTAAACAGGAGCACAACAAAATAAAAAAAGGAGGAAAGAGCCCATCACTCCCTCTCTTTAGTCAGACATTTTTATTTTCCAGAGTCCCAAGCTTTTGCTTATTTTGCATTCTTTTTTATTTTCTCTATAAGTTTAGGATAAATAGAACCTCATAAACCAAAAAACAAATATTGTTGCTTTTCTCAATAAGTGGCAAATAATCTAAATAAAACAAAATAAAGTAGACATATGTAAAATGATTTTCTAACACCTGTATCCCTGTTGTTTTGTCAAATAACCTAAATGTGACAACAACAGAACAAATCTACCGAAATTCTGTTCTGGCTTTTGGTTATGGTGCCACCTCTGCATTTTCAGTGGCCCCCCCACATTAAAACATTGCTGAAAGCTGTATTTAAACCGTAGGAACAGCCTGACAGAATAATTTCATGGTTTTGACAGGTCTTTGAATATTATAGTATACTTTGAATGTGGTCTCTACCTGTTTCTGATCGGGTAAACCACTGAGCTGGGAAACAGCCTACCCAACGCCACAACCTGAACTCTGCTCAAGAAAACCAACTGATTTGWATGAAGCCAACTAATTCTGCCACAAAGGGAAACTAGTTGATGTTCACACAGAACTGTGTGGCTGACGTGTTTACCATGTGGGAGTATATCTATAAATATCTGAGACAGTCATGTTAACTGAAGGTGGCAGCTAAAAACATAACGTCTGTGTCTTTGTGTGCAGATCTGAATGTTGCTGAACCTAAAGTACATTTCATGTTTTCAATGTATATTTTCTTCATAACCAAGAATATTTCCCTGACAGTTAAGCACACAACTGATTTTTTTCTTTATAATTATTAGTAACATTCATTTCCAACATATTTAGTGAACATTTGTTTTTAATTTTACAGAGATTGTTTTAGAACTATTCAGTACTTGTTTTAAGCAGAGACAGGATAAAAAAGTAGATTTGGTAAGTTTAGCAACAGATTTTTATGCAAACATGAGAATGTAAGCATTTCCTTTTCCATGAACAAGTGTTGATCTCAGTTAAACTAGTGAACATTAGTGAACAAATGTTCACTAATACATAGAATCAGCTGTGACTGTAGTTTGCATAAAGCTGATGGAGTTACTTTTGAGTTACTAATATTAGTGTTAATCCTTTGGATCCCAAGTAAGAAAAGAGATCTACTTCAATCAATCGCATCAGCTACACAGGAGCATTAAAATAGTTTAGTTTTTTAGTTATAGTTTTATTAATTTATTCATTTAATTTAAAAGTAAAAATTAAAAATTTATACACAAAAAAAATCACACTTGAAATGAAAGGAGGCAGAAGAAGAAAAAAATCTTATAACATCTACCCCTTTTTTCCAAAATTAATTTCAAGCAATAATCAAGAAACAAAATAAAATAAAAACCTCAATTCCTTTTGAAACAACAACTTTTGATGTACAAAATAAATCCTCACCTGAGCTCATGAGCAGCACAGCCTGCAGTAGTGCCACCTCCGAGTCATCCAAGTTAAACTGTGCCAGGCTCTTGCCCAGATCAAAAATGGCGTCTGACACCACTCCCAGCCCGCCGTTTTTCAGGTGCTCTCGCTTCACCTCCATCTCGCCGCTTAGCGTTAGCGTGTCAGTCTGAGGGTCGTAGCGTACCGCGGCGCGCAACGACATGATCTCCATGCAGCAGCCCTTCAGCAGGATGATCTGATCTTCACAAGGCAACTGGAAAACAGTCAGGAGGAAATGTAAAGAGCTGAACAACAGACTTCAGTAATGTCCCTACAGTGCTGTCAGCTCATCAGAATTAAACCTGAGGTCATTCAAAGAGCTATCAATGAAAGGTAAACAGTTATTTTCAGTGCAAATATTTTACTGAATGCAAGTTAGTTCTGATTTTTTTGCTCATGGGTGTGTTGCATGAAAAGAGACAATGCCAAACTGCCCTAAAAGCCAAACCTTGTTTCAGACTTACTGAACAAGCATTTCAAAAAAGCAAGGCGATAAAATAGTGTGTGTTTTGTGTGTGTGTGTGTGTGTGTGTGTGTGTGTGTGTGTGTGTGTGTGTGTGTGTGT